ATCCTACAGTATTTTTACAGTTAAAATATATGTTTATCATATAAAGTTTAATGTTACAACTAATCGGGGATCCCTTTAAATCTCTTCTTAAAACTCATCTTTTCACTCTGGCCTTTGAACACAATTTGAAGTGTTGTTTTTTATGTTTTATTTTCTTTTTTCCAATTGATTTTATGATTGTATGCAAGGGTGAGAAGCTCGGTCATCCAGGAGGGACTCAGAGTAGAGCCGCTGCTCCTCCACGTCGAGAGGAGCCAGTTGAGGTGGCTCGGGCATCTGGTAAGGATGCCTCTTGGACGCCTCCCTGGTGAGGTGTTACGGGCACGTCCCACCGGGTGGAGGCCCCGAGGAAGACCCAGGACACGCTGGAGGGTCTATGTCTCTCGGCTGGCCTGGGAACGCCTTAGAGTTCCCCCGGAGGAGCTGGAAGAAGTGGCTGGGGAAAGGGAGGTCTGGGTCTCCCTTCTGAAGCTGCTGCCCCCGCGACCCGACTCCGGATAGGCGGAAGAAAATGGATGGATGGATGGATGGATGGATGGATGGATGAATGACCAATAATAGTTTGTACAAATGTATAAAGATATCATAAACCAATCAGGGAAATTAGAAATAAAACTTATTGACAGGGACCTTCAAATGACAAGGTCCCACCCCCAGCCTTCAAGAGGTCAACGGARTGCAGACCACCACAGAATTTGGAAAATGAGGATGTAGAGATGTCCTGAGGACCCAARGGAAAAGCAGAACCATTAGAATATGAATGGCTGTCCATCATTCTGAGCCCAGCTCSCTGGCCATTCAAGGTTAAAGCATTTAATAGGCTGAAAGGCAGGATTAGCCCCACAGAGCGCCTCAGAGYGGAGTTTAACCCTTGCAACACCACAGATGAGGAACAACGCTAACATTTGGACTTTTTTTATTTTGCTATATTATTAAGTGTGTTCACAAAGCATTGTAGTGTAGTGACTCACCATCCTCACTGGTGTGTGTCTCCGTCCCTCCCTCATTGTCCACCTCCTCCAGGGCTCCATGCTCACTGTAGGGACTCTCACTGTGGGAAACAACATGCAAACTGTCATCCACAACGTAAATCAGAGCAGAGCTCCAAAAACTTCTTTAACAACCCGTGTTCCCAATTTGGTTTTACCCTAAAAATCTTTGCAGTTACTCCACTATCACAGATGATGATAATTATTGGTGCATAAGGAAGTTCAAACAAATGTCATTGTCGCTTTTTTWGAAAATTTCCAAATCAAGCTGCGGTGCATCCTCTTTCTTTTTTTTTTCTGACCACTTTTCTTGCGGGGCCATGCTGTGAGAGCTGGCAGTAATGCCGCAACACCCATCTCCACAGATTACCCCTGCCAGGAACTGAGCATCTCCTCCCATCCCAACATGTCAGCAACCACCTCCTCCCCAGCRAGAAGGAAAAGCGAAGCTGCCAGGACAACAAACCTCCCGAGGGCTTTGAAAACACTGCCGARGGACACGGCTGTTCTGAGACGGGTGATTGGTTCTAGTCGGGGATGATTCCTCGTCAGCCTCGACGGAGAGCGATAAAGACAGGAAGAGACAGGAGATAAGCCCTGCTTACAGATGTGGAACTGGAAACGAGCCTTGAGTTTGACCTATTTGATTCCAGTGTTTGGACTAATCATTGCTTTCTCACCGTGAGACGTCTTCCTGCTTTGATTGAAGTAATTTATAAGATTGTTTCAGTCTGTCCCACCTGAAGATAAGTTCACATAAAGTCAGTCGATACATTCTTGTCATTTTCCGTCAGCTACAGCTGTCTAATTGGTGTGCATACTGAGTCACGTCAACCCCCACGTGCTACTTAGCTGCAGCACGAAGAGCTCACACATACCTACATAGCGAGACCCCCCATTGAAAGCAACTTGGCTGAGCGCCTTCGTTCCATTCAAAATAATAAAGATGAAATGAGAAAACCACCGCCATCCGCCAGAYGTTTTAAAACCATCTCTTTTGGGAAATGCGTACAGCTGCGTGAAGTGACTTCATCGGAATCTTTTGCATCTTTAATAATAGATGAAATTACCTGACCTACAGACAGCTGCGACAGGACTGGAATTTCACTTGAAACCGAGCAAGAAACTGAGCCTGCTTCTGAGAAACAGCCTTATTTCCAATAATGATGAAAGGGTAAGGATCCKCCGCTCACCAGTAGTCTCCACCAGCCATGCACTTCTCATAAATGGGTCCCTCCAGTTCTTTGGCATCGGGAAAGATGGTCTCGTGGTGGATGATGATGGTCTTGATGATCTCGTTTACGTGAGCCTGGCAGGAGACCTGGTCTTGGCTGTCCGGTGTAGGCATGAGTGTCGGGCCGAAACATATGGCCAAGTTGTACGGGTCCATCATGTTCTCGTCGCTGTACTGGGACAGACTGGAAGGGGAGGAAATTACAAAGGAAGACATAAAGACAGTCGTAACACAGGGAATTTATCCTAACACAATTAAAGTTAAGTAGGAACAAGACTTAGTAAAACGTAGAATTATACTGGTTTATTAACTCACTGGTTCAGAAAGGCAAAGAGGTAGCGCATCACAATAAGGACTGATCTGGGAATGGTGAGGAGGATCTTACGGATGTACAGCGCTCTCTCATACAGGTTTTCTATTCCTATAGCAGCAAAAAAGACAAAATGTACAAAATAATGGTAAGATTATTTAAAGTGCCTGTGACATCAATATTTTAAAATAAATATGAATGTATTGTTGGAAAGGTAACATTGATAACATGTTGTAAAAAAGATTTCATGCCACTGAGATGAACAGTTGTTGAGATATTCACATGTGAAGAAACAGGAAGTGATGTCAAAGGGGAATGTCTGAATGTAAACAGAGCGTTGCTAAAATGGCTAACAGCACAGACTGTAGAGAAGAATCCGATGTTTCTTTAGATTATTTTAATCAYTATCATAGAAAAATGAGAGAGTCATAGCTCAAATAATAATGTTTCAATAAACAAAAACCAGGGAGTTTTCTTTCTCAAAGAGTTCCCCTTTGATGTCACTTCCTGTTTCACTTTAACTGAGCAAAATTCAGAAGAAAATATGCCAATTATGTGACATAATGGGTCAAATCATGTGTATTACGCCAAGTTTCTTAAATATAAACGTTTTCTTTGACTTTTTGTATTTCATGGATATGCATGTCACAGGCACTTTAAGAAATAAAATGTTGGGTTTTATTTCTGTACATTCCCTCCATAGGAAGGTATTACATGTTCTATTGGGTTAGATCAGACTGTGGACACGTAGAGGAGACTGTCACGTAAAACCTACCTTATGTGTCAGAGGGTTGACTTGTTGATGCATTTGTTTCAAACACATAAAACATTCACGTGCCAAACTGAATTCTGTTAGATGCACCTCTCTTCATTAAAACTTCTGAAAACCCATTAAGGTGTTATCATTTTAAACAGGTACAACATTTTTAGAGAAAAAATGAGCATGGACTATTTTTGGCTCCCCTGCCTGTGTGTCTGTATTACTTCCAGTGCTTTAAAATATTGAGCATTATACCCAGAAAAGAGCAGCTTCTCTGTGGTAAATGTTATAAATATATAATTTTTTTCCGCTGATGCACTTCTACATCATATGAAAACTAAGCCAGACTTGTTCTTCCAACAGACAAATTACAGTATACTCTATTAAATTTGTTGGAGACCTGCACAAGCACAAAACGAATTTTGTTCAAACTTTGTAATGCCCTTTTAACTACAGCTTCCTGTATCTATGTGTTTCCCTTGTATTGTAACCCTTACAGAAATGAGCATTAAAGATCTCTGCAATAAACTTTATGGATATAACTCTATCTGAAGRCTAAAAACAGAAACTTTTTCTGCTTGTACGCTTCTACATGTGAAGACAGCGCCAGYCTTTGTGTCTTGTATTATCATATCATTTGTTCCAGCAGCCTTCCTGTTTTACTTGGATGAGGTGAGGCTCTGCTGGCTGCTAAAAATAGCCTCGTCATCCATCAGCCATTTCGTGTCAACTGGGATTTGGGCTTCTAGGATGCTTGTGATGCATTTAATTTTTCACGAATACCCAAATGGGTTTCCGTGTGGTTCCGGGGAGTTTCCGATGCTACGATTTAAAAGGTCATCTCTAATGAAGGTTTATTCTTTAACATAAATACATCTGTAATCACCACTGTGCAAAACACATCTGCTGCAAACTCCAAAATGAAAACTTTATACGAGTATGCAGCGGTGAGCAAGAAGCGAAACYGAGAAATGATCATGTAGCTGCTCTGAGCTGCTCCATGGGAAACAGGGTTTTTAATATGAAGCCTTCTAGGCACCCAACCCACACAGCAATCACTGGCTTGTTGAGCAGTGGAATGTAAACAGGGAATCCCCATCACTCATCCAGCACAACTGTGTGAAGGTACACCAAGGAGACACACAAAGACCCACTTCACACACGGGTGACCACACTAAAGTTTGCTTAAACAGGAATTCATGACAAAACACTGCAGCACACATGTTCGGATGAGCTTGTGGTAGGGCAGCAGGATATTGGAAAAAACTGACATTGTGATTTTTTTCTAACCCTGCGATGAGTATTTTGGTATATATATATATATATATATATATAT